TGTATGTATGTATGTATATGCACACGGACACACGCACCTCGAGCTGGCAAAGCAGATCTTTTCGCAGCTGTCCAGTCCGCCAAACCACCCGGTTCTTGACCTGCAAACCTCATCTCGAGGCATGCAGGTCTAACAGACACTGGCTTTCGCTTTCTGATGCTCGGTACCGTCACGCAGGACACGGGTCGTCTGCCGTGCTTTAGGCAAGCCCCAGGCCCAAACACAGGAAACCCCGATGCTTTTCGAGCCCGAAGCCCATGGAGGCTCCATTCACGGGGTCCCCTGCCACAGAGCCTGAATTAGCTAATCCAAGCAGGCTTAAGTATCCGATTTCTTGGGGTTTTGCCAGTTTCTTCGGTGATTCGACTCCGGCGGCTATACAGGACGAAGCGTGCAACAAGACATCACTGATCACTGCCGGCGCATCGCATACCTGTGACTTTGTGCAACATTAGCACAGGTATTACTTAAATCCTAAACCAGAACCCTAAACCAAAACTGCTAAGGACAAACCTAAACAGTATGCCTACACCCGCAGGAGGGACTTAATGCTTGTACGACCCTGTTCCATTGACCATGTGGGCTTCGAAGAAATTGTGAGTACCAGTTCTATAATTACTATAATTGGTATGTGTGGCTTCGGGCACTGCCGTCCATACATGGACACGGGCGGCATGAAAAGATGTAGGATTCAGTGGCATCAGTTTGGCTACCAACCATGGACCGATTCCACGAAAGAAGTCGGATGCTAGACTCCAGCCACCCGCGTTCGTGCCTTTGTACCCGGACAAGTATGGCTTATCCGGAAATGCGTGAAACCGCAAAGTCTAGCCTAGTCAAGGAAAGCTTCTCCAAAGCCACGGGTTGGTTTTCGTGTGAGGCAGGCGGGCTGTCTCCGATTGGTTGTAAAGCGGAAGATGGTAAGGCCGGGTGATAGTTATCCCAAGAATCCCAGGCAAGGCTACTGCGGAATTCAAGCAGCTGCGAACCTCGGAGGAGGCACCTTACTCAAGGGCAGAGGTAGTAGCAGTGGTTGTGGCCCTGGCACTGGCACTGGGCAGTGGCAGTGGCTTTGGCACTGGCCGTGGCAGTGGCAGTGGCAGTGGCAGTGGAAGCGGTAGTGGCAGCGGTAGCGGTAGGGGTGGGGGTGGGGGTGGTGGTGGTGGTGGTGGTGGTGGTGGTGGTGGCGGTGGTGGCGGTAGTAAGAATAATAACAATAGTAATAATAATAATAACAATAATAATAGTGGTAGCAGTGGTAGTGGTAGCAGTAGGGGTAGCTGTAGCGGTAGCTGTAGCGGTGGTTGTCGTGGCGCAGGTAGTTACCATAGCCGTATGCCAATGGTTTGCAAAAAACAGTGTAGTGTTACGTGTACACACGAGCTGTACATCATGCACCTTCGTGCCGACCCGAAACCAGAACGTGATGCTTTCAGAGATATGAGGGGTGTAGGGCTTCAGGGGATGTAGCATTGCACCATGAAGGGGGAACTTACAGCTTGAGAAGCTAGATGCTTCAAAAGACTTCAGGCTGAAAGCATGCGCGCTAAGACCTTAATCTCAAACCCAAGACCCTCAAGCCCTGAAGCTTGAACAAGCAGCCACCAGCCCCACAGCTTATTGCCTAGACGACAGGAGCCCTTTTGCCTGAAACCCTAAGCCCTAACTAGCCCATAAGCCCAAATCCCGAAGCCCTGGTCATGCACCACACATCTACACGTGATACATATGATACCTCCATACCTACCTACCTACATACATACGTACATACATACATACATACATACATACATACATACATACATACATACCTGCATACATAAGCATATACATGCATACATGAATATATACACATATTACGCCTATGAGGTTGGCAGTCTAGAACTTGCCATGACTCCCCAGAAGAGCTCCGCTGAAGGCAAACCAGAAACCAAACCCTCCATATATCGTAAACCCAACCGAATCCCACTCCAAGGCCTTCGACTCGCAGGAAGGATTCACAAGACGATCGAGTCTTCTGACTTCAGGTGCCTAGTCTTCCCCGATGGAGTTTGGGAACTTTTAGGTTAGTCGTGCAGGTTTGACTCTTAAACGATTCAACCAACTCTCGCCGAAGCTGCAGCATCTGGCACACTCCCAGAGAGTACCGCGGCTGTACCTGCCCATTTCCTCATATGGTCGCAGTCGTAAGAACAAAAATGATACCTACATGTTGTCATCAACCAACTCAGACCCCCCCACCCCCCACCCTGAGATTTTAAAAGACGCCTCAAGTTTTCTGGGTAATGTGCAGGTTGTTCATCGAGGTGCCTCTGAATTCGCGGGTTTTTATATCTTTTCGTATTTTATTAAAATCTTGCTGCTTGAGGAAATATGAGTATAGATAGATTTTATTAAAATCTTTTTCAGTGTTTAATAAAATCTATTGTCTTTTAAAAGCAGGTTCGTTCAATCATTTTTCTGGCTTCATCAGCGGGGTCGAGAACTGTTTACAAACCCTCTTTAAACGGCTTTTGCCGGGGGTTGGGGTTCCAAGTTCGCTGGCAATGTTGCATCAGAATCCTATCTACAGTAACCTTCGACCAGCAGTGATTCCTTACAGGGGATGATGATGTCGTGTTGATGCCAGGCATGTCTAAAATCGGATATGTAGCGGCAAATCAGTGGCCATGTTGTGCATTCTCCGATCCCCAAAGTGCCCTAACCCCCCAGGTACCTACTATATAGGGTACTAGAGCCCCCAGGGCCCTATACAGTAGGTACCTGGGAGGATCCCCAACGTAGGTGAGCTTCCAAGCATCTTGGACGTGTCCCGGTTCCAGCTGAACTCCTCGCAGCGCCTGGCTCTGAACTTGCCGGCCTCCGAAGCTCAGGCGGCCCAGGCAGGTTTAGGGTTTAGGGGTTTAAGATTTAGGGTTTAGGGTTTTAGGATCATGGCTTCCGAGAGGCTTTTGGGTTTAGTGAACTTTAGGGCTTGAGGGTAAAAAGTGCTTCGGGACTAGAATCTAGGGCTTGCGGTCAGTGTGTTGGTGGGGTGGCAGTTATAGCGTTGAGTATGGTTTAGCGCGTGTCAGGGGTGAGGGTTCTGGGGTTCAGGGGCCGTGTTCGTCGAGGTGCAGCTTGTTTGCGGGCATACCGCCCAGCCCTAAACCTTAAACCCTAAACCCTGAAACCCATACCCTATAGGCCCTAAACCCTAGCCCCTGAAACCTATACCCTAAGCCTTAAACCCTAAACCCTGAAACCCTAAACCTAAGCCCCAAGCCCTAAACCCTGAAACCTACTACTAAGCCCCAAACCCTAAACCCCAAAATATGTTGCTTTATCCCGGTTTGACCCTCGTTGCGTCCCCAGGTCGTCTACGTTCTGCAGGGTTCGGGTGAGGCTGTCGGAACCACGCTGAAAGGACGCGGTTTAGGGTTTTTGGGTTTTTGGGCGTCGGACCCACACTGAAAGGACAATGTGGTTGGAATTGAGGTTTCGGAAGTGTGCAAGTTGTTGTTGTATCCGCGTCGGTACTTTGGCCCTAAGCGC